TGTTTGAGAAACAGCTAAAGGCCCGACTCTTGGCCCTTAGGAGTTTACAAACCTATAGGTAATTGTGTGCTCTTGGCAGGTATTGATAAGAAAATAATTCACCTAATTAATGTTTTTGTTGTATGTCTTTGCATATAGGAGAAATAAATAGAAATGAAGTACTCTTTAATAGACAAATCATAGGTAAATGCAATAGAGGACGAAGCTAGGGATGAACTCATCACAGAGCCTGGTCAAGTTATATTCTTTCTTATCTTGACCCTTCCTTGCCTGAGATTTGTATTTGGGTTTGTCAAACCTGAACCCAACTCTGGACCCAGGCAGGAGAGCAGTCTTCCCTCTTCACTTTCCTTGTCCAAAATCCTGTTCATCCTTCAAGGATCACCTCTCCTCCAGGAAGCCATCCTGGATTACTCCAGACTCCATTAACGTGTTTTGAATACCAGAATTAATAAACATTTATCACATGGTGTGATGACATACTTAAACTCTTTGCCTCTGTTTTTTGTGATTTCCCAACTAAGTTCTAAGTCCTTTGAGTAATAATAATAACAATAAAACATAATATTTATCAAGCATTTGTTATGACCTTGGTACTATGGAGATATATATATGTGTATATTTATATATATATTATATTGAATTTCAGCCATCCATCTTATGGAGAGGTACTGTTATTTTTCTCATTTGACAGCTGAGGCAACTGTGTATTAGGATAATTTTCAAAAAGGTAAAATAATGACTCATATAAATACGAAGTGAACATACATCAAAGGTTTTATTTAACTCACTAAGGAGGAAAACTGAAATTTGTTAAAAACCAATTTAAAGAATAAAGAGCAGACTTATAGGCAATCAGGAATGCTGAAATGAATTTGCTAATAGGTACAAAACTGGTTAATATACAGGTATGAAAATGTAATATTTGGAATCGTCTTTTCTGCGGGGCAGAAATCAAATTTTTATCTCACTGGACAGAGTTCATTTTCATTTCTATGGACAAAAATTATTTTCATTAATGTCAGTTTTTCCAACTTACAAAGTCTAGTCAAAAACAAAGGTATATTGAATGTATTGATTATTTTCTTGGCATATCTGAAAATAAGATTGAAGTCCTAGTGAGAGTCTTTAAAATAAACAATTTTTATAAATTAAAAAAAGTCAAAAGTGCAGACCCCTACAGATTCAAATAACAGTGAAGAATCCTAGAGAAAGTTCAGAATTCCACTCAAAAAGCACCCAGTAATCTTTAGCTTGTTTCAAAATTTTTCTGCATATATTGGGTCTTGGAGTACTTTTATTCTTCAGCATCTAACACAGTATCTAGCACATATTAGGTGTTCGATAAGTGCAGGCTGGTTGATTGATGAGAATTATTTATTGATAGATTATAAAGTTTGTGGTAGATTGAAAACTATGACCAAAGTATTTTGCATCTTCTTCATTGAGGAGTCTATTTTCTTACTCCTTGAATCTAGAATTGCCTTGTGACTTACTTTGACCAACAAATATGTCAGAAGTGACGATGTGTGACTTATGGAACCTTGACTTCCAGAGACCTTGCACTTTCACTCTCTTGGGACCTGCCTTTCCCAGGTAAGAAACCTAGACTACTCTGCTGGAGAGCCACATGGAGGAGAACCGAGGCACTCTAGCTGACACGTAGGCCATCTTGGGTCATCCTCATCCAGGTGACTGCAGCCACATGAGCACAGGTGAGACCACAGAAAAACTGCCCAGCTGAGCCCAGTTAAAATTGCAGAGTTGTGAGTAAATAAATGGTTATTGTTTTAAGCCTGTACGTTTTGGAGTGTTTTGTTATGCAGCGATGGGTAAACTGATACAGAGCTAACTGTGCAGTCGTAGAATGTCAGCCAGGGGCAGGGGGCAAGTGTTTCTTCTTTGGGGATATAGGCTCTTTCCCGTGGTTGAATTTCTCGGCTTAGCTGTCCTACACTCCAGCTGGTTGGGTCGCCTGTGCTGTTCCTTGAAGGAAGTGTCATTACCTGGGTATGTGGTTTGGCTACAAATCTAGGTGCCCATGCAGCCCCTTTGATAGGCTCATTATCTGCATTTGGCTGGGCACTTGTAGAGAAGTGGATGGAAGTCAACCTTCAAAAGAAGAGAGGCAGTGAACAAGCAACCCTTTCTAGGAAATTTACATCTGAACATGGACATGTGCACAAATTAAAGTACAAAGTTAACTCTATCATCAATATCTGCTCCCTCCTTTCCTTGAATCTGTATGACACTTTTGCTTTCCAAACATTTTTCTACTTGCTTTTTTGAGCTCCAACCTAGCCCAGTGGGTAAGAAGGATAGGTGGGGAAATCAAGAGATTTGCCCAGCACCACACAGCAGCTTAATCATGGGCCATATCCCAGGCTTCCTGCTGTAGTGCCCAGTGGCCTAGTGCTAGGTACTGCCCAGAGCAGGTGCCATGTGCAGTCCTTTCTCTCCAAGGATCCTTGGTTCAGGAGACACACCCAAGACATACATATGAACTCAGGATGATGTCAGGATGGCAGTGTGGTGTCAAGGAAAGGTCTAGTTCAGTTCTGTTAGCTCCATCAGCTGCATGATCTCAGGTAGTTACTCAATCTCTCTAAATCTGTTTCCACATTTGTAAAATAGGATTAAAATTATATCTACCTATACATTAAAAAAACCTTTAAATAATGGTCGCATTTGGAGTTAGGTGTGGATCTGGGCATCTGGGTCTAGGAGGAAGACTTACTTTTCATTGTATATCTTTTGTACTATTTTTATAATTTTATAATTGTAATGATTAATTTTACATGTCAACTTGGCAGGCCTAAGAGATGCCCAGATAACTGGTAAAATATCATTTCTAGGTGTGTCTATGAGGGTGTTTCTGGAAGAGATTAGCATTTGAATCAGTAGACTGAGTAAAGAAGATCATTTTCACCGGTGCAGGTGCGCATTATTCATTCTGTTGAGGGCCTGCATATAACAGAAAGGCAAATTCACTCTCTTCATTAGCTGAGGTGTCCACCTTCTCCTGCCCTCGGACATTGGCACTCCTGATTCTTGGGCTTTTGGGTTCAGGCCAGGACTTATACCATTAGGCCCTGATTCTCAGGCCTTTAGACTTGGACTGAATTACACTGGTAATTACACTCACTCTCCAGCTTACAGATGGCAGGTCATGGGACTTCTTAGCCTTCATAATTACATGAGCCAATTTTCATAATGAATCTCCTCATACATATCTATATATGTCCTACTGGTTCTGTTTCTCTGGAGAACCCTAACTGATACAGTAATCATAGGGCAAACGTTATTCATTCAATAACAATACTAATTAACCAAGAAATAAATGATTGGTTCATAATAATTCTAATTAGCCAATAAATAAATATCATATCTAAAAAAATAAAATTATGTCTTTCTCCAGTAGTATACTTAGAGTATTTGAAACTCTACCTCTAAAGGACAAAATTATTTTTCGAAGGAATAATTATTTCCTTGATTCATTTTTCAGCTCTAGAATAATTAACAATTAAAAATGTTATTTAACTTAAAATATATTCAAATACAGTAAAACATTTCATATATGAACTAATGTTTGCATTTACAAAGCAGACCGTTATACCTTGCAGTTTGCACTGTCATTGTTTTAAATTTCAAACACAAATGAAAATTTCGTCTACCCAGAATGGCAGAATTGGAGTAACTCAAATGTTGTTTCTTTACAATCACTGTGTGTGTGGTTATTGTGTATTTCTCATCTACCATTTAAACCTAGGAATATGTATTACTACAAGGGTTTGAACAATTCTCAACTATTACAAAGTTTTCTCAAAATGAACAAGTAGAGTGGAAAACATTGGGTGTTCACTCCATATGGAATACTATGTTTATTAAAAAATAAGTAATGGAAGTGTGTTAATTTGAAGCTTACCCATTTATTATTAAAACTCAATAGTAATGATAACAATTGTTTAGAACTGAGACTAACAAAAGATTTTCTCATGGAATGTTTTATCTTTGACCTTGTTTAGAATTGTCCACACATGAAGATAATAAAAACAGATTTTTAATCAGTTTTATTGTTTTTAAATTTCCTACAGACAATGTACCCCCTTACTGCCTAACCCAGGGTGAACTACTCCCAGAGCCCTAATCTCTTTACAAGGTCCCTGTTAAAGATCAAATGAAATAATATTCACTGATGTCTCAAATTCAAATGCTGTTTAGAGTTCAGAGAGGCAAACATGTGAAATGTCTAAGTCACAGAGAATGTTGCAGACTGTGAAGACCAAGGAGTGTGTGCCCTGCCTAATGGTGTTCACACTCAATGCTTCTGTCTGAGACTTCGTAAGAGTGGGCTGACAGCTTGTGATACTCGTGACCAATGACAATTCATACTTAGGTTTGGGCTGACTTCAAAACTCTTTTCCACTGTGTCATTTTTCCTCGCCTTAAACCCTAGTATCCTCTTCAATAACATAAGACCCCTAATACTTATCTATCTTGGGGAACTTAGAGACATTTTATTTCAAATTCTAAGCACCGTGCCTGGCACATACTATGCACTCAAAGAGGAGTAGCTTTGTATAAAACAGCTGATAAACTACAAAGCATTATACAAATATTAGGTATTATTGCAAAGGACCTAAACACTAGGGTAAAAATAACACCTTACTTTGACACTAATTTATAGATGGAAACTGACTTATCTCCGAGGTAAGAACAAAGTTAGAAACATGGGAGCCCTGGAGAAGCTGAGAACTAAGGTGGGTGGGAGTTAGATGAAAAATGAGTCGTCTACCTGTGGGGAGAGGACAGGACAGACTGGGACCGTCGTTACTGAAAGTGTGGTTCTGCATCAGAGAAAGAGGTGTGGGTGGGTCTATCTCCGGGGTCCTCGCAGTTTAACAGGGTAACATGCCACCCACAGGAACATTTACAATGCAAAATTACTTTTAAAATAGCCACATGGAACTTCAACTTTGTTGAAGTTCACTTTATGATGGCAGAAAACTAAAAGCAATGTAAATATCCAAAAACAAGGGGACTGGTCAAATAAATTATGCTATATCCATTCATTGAGCGAATGTTATTCAATCCTTAAAAAAATATTATTAGAATCTATGTAGAAGAACAAAAATATTGATAAAGAAAGAAATTCCTACTATATGTGTTATATGTAAAGAGGAGATTACAGAACAGTGGCTACAATTCCATCTCACTTCTGTGAAACAAATAAGTATGTTAAAAGATCTTGAAGGATACATATCAAGGTTTTAACAATGGTTATCGCCAGGTGTTGGCATTCTGGACTTTTTAAATGCTTTCTTATTTCTGCTCATCTGTGTTGTCTAATTTTCAACAATGAACATGTTCTGCTGTTGTAATAAGGAAAACAACATTTATTTTTTAAAGTGTGGTGAGAGTCAATTGGGTAAAGATCAAAGATTGTGTTAATAGGATTGAACTAATCTGGAAAAGCACCCAGTAAGAGACCCCGAACTTTCCTCACAGGGCGAAGAAGGGTGAGAGGTGTGCATGGCAGGGGAGAATCATATCGGGGACAAGATGAGGAAAGCTGGGAGAGCTTGGGCACAAAGGAGATGTCGGGGTTGGGGGCCCCACACCTGGCATTCACAGAGCCAGTTCCTTGACTGTTAGACTACGGTCATTTGCCACTCTATCCACACCTCTAATATGGCCCTCAAGAATGAAATTCAAGCATGGGATGAAGCTCTGGATGGGACTTCAGTCTACTGATGTCGCTTGTACTTCAAGAGTCTATGTTTCTATGAACATGGCCTACTGGAAAAGTTGAAAAGAAATTAGAGGTGAATGCAGGTGGAGAAGCCAACTATTAGCAGCTGCAGCCAGATGATGGTGCTATAAGGCAGAAAATCAAAGCACAGCCTAGTAGTCCCAAATTAGGCTGGAATGATCATTCTCACCTGGAAGGCCAGCAGGAGGCAGAGGAAAGTTAAGAGGCGTGCAGCTTCCACAGGTCCCTCTGGAGTCACCAGTCTACAACGCCTTTAATTGCTATTCAGTAAATTGGAATATTATAACGATGAAGTGCCAGGGACAAAAACAGAATAACTCAAACAGGTGCAGATCTTGAAACTAAATGCTTAGAGAGAGAGTTCAAGGTACCTCTTCAGGCTTGTCCCTCAGCCCTCCCCTGCTTTTGCTAAGCCGCACCCTTTCACCAAGCCTCTTCCTGCCCTCCCTCTGTCCTCCCTTTTATCCCCACCCCCACCCCCCATTCACTGAACACATTTTGGGTACTGTAACATTTAGCCAGAGCCCGGGAAGGTGAGGGAAAGATCCCTGAGGATGAGGTAGGAGGGAGCTAAGTGAGTTGCAATGTGTGTGCGAGGAGTGGATGTGTCAAGTGTGACTGGCAAAGAAGACCACACTCTCAAGTCCTGACGCAGGAGAAGGTACACCTGGAGGAAAACCTGAAGCGAGGTGTCAAGGAGGCCAGGGAAAGAGAGTGTTTCAAGGAGGGAGCATTCAACTGCTGAAAACTAAGAGATCTAGGAATATAAGAAATGTCAAGTGTCCAGGGATTTTAATAATGTGGAGTCCCTGAGAACCTTGGTTAGTGCAACTTCCCTGGGGTAGTGGAGCCCAGGCCAGCCTAGAGTGGGCTGAGGAGTGAACGGGGGTCACGAAGGGGAGAGCCTGTGAAAAGGAACAGATTGCTAAGGAAGGAGCTGCTGGGGAAGGTGGTGCAGAAAGCTTGTTTTAAGGTGAGCACCACTAGAACAGGTTTGAATGCTAATGGGAAAGACCTATCA